TAGGCTGCACGATAATCAGTATCACAACCTGAGTCAATGCCGATTAGCGAAAATGCATCAATCTTTCGCATATGTCGGCATGTTGCACGAATTCAGGCGCGTACTGTACATACTGTCAGACATGCTCAGGACGCTTTATGTGGATGCAAACCAAATTATATGGTTTCTCTGGTAGGAACGCATTTCGCAACTAGTAGCTATGGCTTACATTTCAATCTACTAAATGCTATATGTGTTATTAGAAAACCTTACAAATGTTTAAAAATGATTGCTTAGAGGAAATGTAATTTCCCAATTAGTGAGCACATGTATTTGACCAGATAAGTTTGAATCCACACTGACTCCACTCCGTCTTCTCTGTCTGTTTCTCCACCTACACACGCACGCAGTCCACCTTTTCAGGCAAGTGAGCCGATTAAAATCTACATGAAGGCACTCCGCGGCATTGAGGCCTACGATCTTGCCCACCACAAGAATATCAGCGCCAAAGCCTACCAACTCATCAAACGACTGTGCCGACTGAATCCCACTGAACGTCTGGGCATGGGACGTTTGGGTATTCAGGAGATCCGGAATCAAAAGTACGCTGTGTTCTCTGTTTCTCTCGCCACGTTTTTTTCTTCAACTTCCCTTTATTCTTCCAAAATTATGTTTTGGATCCATACTTGAGGTCATTGCCACACTATTACTCAAAGTCAGAATTCTGGGATCAACGAATAAGAGTTCATCTTCTGCTCACCGCGCTAAAATTGTAGATTTGCTGACGTTTCGGTCAGCAAGTTTAAAGATGCGGCTGTACGTGTTGCCCTGTCTTTTACTTACGTAATGGCGTGGGACTTTGTAGGCCGCAGGGAGGGCCAGATGCCTGTTGACAGAGTTGGCGTCTGAGTACCATGCCTCAAGCGTCAATCTTTCAGCTTCTAAGGCTCCTCCGCCTGCGATGGTCGTTTCTTGAATGTCGAAGTTGTGGCCAGTCTCTCCGATATGTCTTGCAAACTGTGATTTTGGGTCTAGTGTCCGACCCGCCATTTTGCGTTCGTGTAGGTGGATCTACAATTTTTGCCCTGTTTCTCTAACGTAATTGCAGTCCCAATCGTTGCAGCGTATCTTGTAGAAAACTTCAAAGGTTTCAGTAGGGGGCAATCTGTCTACTCCTTCAAGTTTACAGCCACTAATCCCGAGAGCTGCCTTCAAGAGGTAGAAGACCCTCCCCTCTGCAAGTGCTATGGCGGCTTGACTCCT